AAATATTAATTAAAATTAACTAAAAATTATAAATTTACATTTTTAAACATGATACTACAAACAAATATGTGCAAAATATTCACAAACAAGTAAAACTTTAATTTAAATTTATATTTTAGAGATTTATTTATAAATAATGTTACATTTAATTTTAAAAATTTTCCGATCAAGGTATCTGCTACTAGTGTGGATAGGGAAGGCAGTGGGCCGGGCCACTAACTCCTCTCATGCATCTTGGATCCCTAACACACAAGACACTATATAAAATAAAAAAATTTTGATTATACGATTACCGAAAGTTTTGTTATCCATGCCCGCCCTCATGAGATCGGATCCATGTCTGCCATTTTGTGGTAGGAAGATTTCGAGTGGGGTGAGAGCATAAAGGTAGTTTGTCATCTCCTTGTGGCCCACAGCACATGCAGCAGTCACTGGGATATGGCCTTGATCATTTGCAATTGTAAGTAAACTGTGGTTCCTTTCGACCAAGCATCTTGCCAAGTGTGTTCTTCCCGTCGTTGCAACTAAGGTAAGAGCAGTGTGACCACCAAGGTTCCACGCAGTCTTTCTTTCCAGATCTGTTTCCGACATCATCATTATCAACTCCTCGGCAATCTCATATTTCTCGGCCAGTATTGCAAAATGAAGAGCAGTGTAGCCTTCAATTATTGTATCTAGTGGATGCTTGTCAAAAACAAAAAACTGCTTAACAGCATTCCAATCTCCTTTGCGAATGCTCTTTCCCAATTCCACAATGCGAAAATCCTCAGTTATCACATCTTCTTCCCCTATGAATAATCAAGATACTAATTAAAATTGTAAGTACTTCACACTAAGTTTTATTGAGATTATGTTCAAATCAATAAAAATTATCACCATCTAACCCCTCACAATGAATCATTTCAGTTATCTCATCTTCTTTTCCTGACAATAATTAAAATATTATAATCAAATTATACTTCAATCAAGGTATAATTAATTTAGTTGAAAATCTCTTTAAATCAATCTTACCATCTGATCCCTCCACACCAATTTCTGGTTCCGATTTAGATTGCCGCTCTTGATGCATTTTGGCTAATTTATTCCAAACAACTTTTGCTGAACTGATTTCTTTATTTGAACAAAAATTTCTACCGACGATGTAGTATGAATTACATGTAGAGCTGCACCATTCTTTTTCCTCCAATTTCCTACACCGTCCGAAGAAGAAACCAAATCAAATATTTTTCCTAGATTCGAGGATGCCCCGAAGATCTTGAGCTAATAGATAGTCTTCAACGTAAATTCTCCAATCTTCACAATTATCTTGTTTAAGAACAAAAGGAACAATTGCAGTAGTACTTGAATCACTATGTATTGCCATTACAAAATTGTCAAAGCATAAAGAGTACATATAATATTAATTATAAAAGAAAAGCATATATAACTATAATTTCATATTCTACACCTTGCAGTAGCCATATATAAAGAGAGACTTAATCAGGCAAGCAATGTTCTCTAGAATGGTACACACTTCAGTATGGTAGAAAGCATGAACACCAAATGTAAATTGTCGGACTTGCATAAAGCCATAGCAAATAATCACAGAATTAATTTTCTTATAATATACTTACTATATGGAAGAGATATCTAGACTTGGATTCTTGCTGTATAGATAGAGATTGCAGCTGTTCCTTAGTTCTAAATATGAAATGAAAAAGAGAAACATGAAACATAATTATAAATGGAGAAGTAAAAAAGAAAAAATTATCAAAAGAAACCAAACCAAGGGAATACAAATTTGGGACACAGGATTACAACCAAATTCAATGATAAAGCCCTTGAGAGTAAGAGACAGTATAGAGCAAAGGTTTAGGTTGTGCTTGCTAAGCATGGTGTGGCTGGGTCTTGATTAAATATTTAAACCACAAAAAGGTAAAGAAAGAATAGAATAGAACCACAAAATATATTTCTTTCTTCTGATTGTAAACACTCAAAGAAGTAATCCATTACAAAGTAAGAGAATAGATTCAATAAAACGTAGAGAGTTTCATAAGAAAAGTTAAGCAATTCGACAATATTATAATTAAAAGCTAATTGCATTACCTTGATTCATAGATGAGCATGCATGATCAATAATTCACTACTGAGGAGACTGACTTGTTCAGAGCTCAAACTTACAATGAAATATAAGGCACAATGCACCTAAAATAATAAAATGTTAGAATACACGGCATTAATTTGAAGGATCTATAAAACAATACCAAGGACAAAAGTTAAAATCAATAGGCCAATTATGATCTATCATTCCATCAACCCATTTTTATGCTTACCATACCAACTAGACCTCGATCCGCGCAAAGCACAGTTTGTCTATATTTTTTTTAATAATTATAAATTTTTATAATAATAATTAAGTATAAATATATCTATCTTAGTTTTTCTTCCTTTTTGATAATTAGTCATTTCAATGGATTTATTTAAAAAAATATTTTAATAGTAAATGTGGAAAAAGATTTAGATGTACAAATATAATCAATTTAATTTTAAAAAATAAAGACAAATTTTCATAATTTGTTACTATATTAATAGATTATGAAAATTTGTCAATCATATCTATCTAATCTTTCTTTTTATATTAGTAAATTGTTTGATGTTATTCATTTTCTCTTTTATCATCTCCTCCTTAATTACCTCCTATCATTATCATTATCTACTCACATGCTATATTCTTTTCAATTTCTTACATTAAGATTGCATCTCTCTATATATATCTCAATGAAGGACATTTCAATTCTCTAGATCATTTTATCATCATACGCTTATGTTATTATTATATATTTTAATTTTGGCTTAACTTAGCACATGTACCTCCTCATTTCTCTTTCTTAAACTGATATTTTTTCACATTATTTTACATTTTCATTACTTTTTTGCATATCTTCATGTTTGTATTTCTTTTTAAATCCTTATCCATATTAGTAATTTTTTTTTTTATTATTCTTTATCCACCATAGCAAATTTGCCATATATCTACACAATTTTTTACCTACATTGACAATTCTATAGGTATAGGTATCTATACCTACAATTTACTAATTTGTGTCTAAATATACCTACATATTTATATTAATTGAAGGAAAAAAAAAATGTCTTTATCTATAAAAATGGCTTAGTGTAGGTATAAAAGAAAAACTTGTACCTACAATTAAGATCAATTATAGACATAACAGTAGCCTATACCTATAAATTTTCAAAAACCAAAGCTATAGTTCATTAAAAAAAATTGTCAACTTCACAAAAGTACTAAAAGTTACACCCCAAATTTGGTCTCTCAACTATTGTACAAAACTCTAAATTTTATATCCCTTATCCTCCCCTCTCTGTTACTCTTTCTTAATTAGTCAATGCATATATATCTTACTATCATTTTATTCCTTTTTTTTTTTCTTCCTCTCTCTCCCTGGCATATAATTGGAAATGTTTTCAAATCAAAACAAAAAATGCATGACTTATTAGTATTATTCTCTTGGTACTTAATTTTTCACTTACCTTTAGTTCACCTTTCATTAATTTTTTTTAAGTCTCCATCTCTCAACTTTCGTCTCAAATTTTATATCATTATATTTAATTCTTTACCCTACACATTATTCTTTGTTTTATTATACTCTCATCTCTCTCATTCTTTCTTAGACCTATTATTACATATCTTATTTTGACCATTCTTTTTACTTCAACAATATATTTGTATTAGAAAAATTTAATACCAAAACATCAAAAAACACAACTTCTTAGTATTATTTTTCTACTACATTTTCACTTGCTTTTACCCCACTTCTATCATTATTTTTCTTGAAATTCTACACCTTAGCTTCCCCTTACATTCTATCACTATATTCTCTCTACAATACATTCCTGTATCTTTCCCTCTCTATACTAATAATTTATTTGTTATTATATCATCCATGTGTGCATGAGTTAGGTAGTACATATGAGATTCCATGTAACTCTAAACCAACTGGTTTTGGAGTTATGGTGTGTCCTATAACTGTACCATTTCATTACTGTTCAAAAAAACTAATTAGAATTAATTAAATTTAGTTAAACAAAATTGGGAGTTAGATTTCGGTTGTGGGTGTGGGTTTAGCCTTTCCTTTTCTCTGAACATGAGGAATTTTGGGGAAAGAGGGAATTTTTTCAAGTAATCCGTGAGAATAGATCTCCCAACCATTTAAATCCAGCCTCTTAGCTTTTTGGAAAAACCCATTAAAAATAAAGGAGAATCGAGGGCTAGCCCGTTTTCCCCTTTTAGTTTTTTTTGACCCGTTTCCCGTGTGATTTCCAGGGACCGGCGGGTCTGGAAATTCTCCTGGTCTAAATATTCCGGAAGAATTTCCAGATTCCGGCCAAAGTTAAAAATCCAAAGAAATTGTAAAAAAAAATTAAAAAATTCGAGAAAATCAAATACCAAAACCAGGACCTAATGGAGCCTAAATGCATTCAAAATGCACCAACATAAACTAAAACTGAGCATGTATATTCAAGATTAAAGTGGACAGTACATTCAACCAAAAATCCATCACCAAATACTTAAAATGAACAAACAGGCACGTAAGAGGCGCTTTGTAGGTCGTCATGCTTCCGGGTACACCGTTTTGGAGTAGTCCCGGGGGCAAAAACCCAAAGGCGCCCCTTACCTGTTCGGATCTGGAAGTTACCTAGCTAAGGGAGACCGAAATATCGCCGGAATCCGGCCGGGATCTGCTGTTTTTTCTCTCCCCTCTACTGCCTCCAAAGCCCAGGAGGAGAAGTTCAAAAATGGACCAAAAAGAAGCCCTGAAGATCACCAAAAGAACCACCTCTTTTTTTTTTTTTATGGCCGTCGGCTGCTCTGCTACAATCCTCTCTATCCCCATGCCCCTCTGGGCTCCCTCTATTTATAGAAAAAGAAGGCAAATCCTAGAATTTCTACCCTCTACTCATCTAAACCGTTCAAACTTTCTTCTTTAATCCCTGGCCATTCGATGAAATGTTTTGAAAACCAAACCGGAGGTCAAGCCATTTTGTCCTCCGGTTCATGGCTTGAGTGGTTTGATCGGGTTAATCAGTCAAAAATTGGCAAAACTAGTTAATAAGGAGTCAAACGTTCATGTTTTTACCATACAAGGAGATGGACTTTCATTTTTCCTAATGAAGGAGTTTAATTTTTTAATCTTACTATCAAGGCGTTCTTGGAAGTGAACTGCTGAGGTAGCTAACGGAGATGGTTAAGGGGCTATGATTTGTTGATGTGTCAAGAAACCTTTTAATACATAGCTTACATGGACTTAAATAGGTTGACTAAGTATTCTTAAATAATAATAATAATAATAATAATAATAAAAGTTTGTGTCCAACGAGACAATATATCCTTTTTATGAGATCCATATGTTTCTTTCTTAAATCTCTTCCTCATTTCTAATTTCCCAAATTCTACAACTAGGGTTTTGCTTTTGCATCCTCCTTCTCTTTTGTTTCTTCCTCTATTTTGTTTCTTACCAAAGATCTGTACTTGCAATTAAGGGTTATATAAGGATCACAAACAATTTTAGAAGAATTATCAAAGGTGAGATTAATGACGAAAATTCTCTAACCTGCATACTCTATTTGTTTTTTTAGTCTTATTATCTAGCGCAACCTATTCTTCTAAAACTATTAGTGCATCTGTAAGTACAACTCTTCAGTTAGCTTCTCCAAATCTTCTTGCCTGTCAGCGCTTTTTTTTTTTTTCTTTTTTTTTTTTCCTTTTTTTTTTGTTTAATCGATTTAGAAAAGGAGGATGAAGAATCGTCTGCAGAATTGGAGAAAAAGATGACGTAATTTTGGGAAAAAAATTGTAGGTTCCATGAGAAAGTTCTGTTGTCTAGGTAGACTCACAATCTTTTATTTTTTTCATTTAAGAATGCCTAGTCAACATATTCAAGTCATGTAAGCCACATTCAAAGAGTTTCTTCACACGTCAGAAAATCATGGTACCCTTAACCATCTCCGTTAGCCATGTCAGCAGTTCACACATTCAATAATGCCTTGATTAGTAAAATTAAGAAATTCAACTCCTTAATTAGGAAAATTGAGGGCCTAGCTCCTTGTATGGCAAAAGCATGAAAGTTCAACTCCTTATTAACTAGTTTTGCCGTCAAAAATTCGGTCTGACCATATTAGCTATTAATATAACAAATTTATAATAAATATAGATTGCAAAATACGAGGCTTTTATAATAAAGTTTTGTTTAAATTTTATTATATTTTAACTTTTTCATATTTACAAAGAAACTGATATTAAAAAATTAGTGAAAAGGTGTTAAATAAGTTTCATATGTGAAAAATTGAGAGAAGCTTGATCTCTTCGAAAAGTGTGGGAATAAAAATCTATTAATTAAAAATTGAGTTATGGAAGATAAATGTTAAATTTTATTGCAGTATTAAGATGTAAAAGCTTTCATTTTCTACCAAACATGCGCTTAAGACTAGCATACTATAAACTCACAGTCAATAAATCTGTAGAATTAATTTAAGTTTGAGTTTAATGAAGCTATTCTCAAAATATAAAATGCTAACATCCAACTTAAAAAGTTATATATTTGGTTTGTGGGAAAAAAAATGAATGAGAGGGATGGGGCAAAGGGATGAATTTTTTTTAATTAATTAAATTAAAACATTTACAAATAATGTAATTTGATTTGCTAAAAAATTCAACTTCTTCTCCATTTCTTTTAAACAAAACATAACATTATGGTTCACCTCTTTTAATTATTTAAAACAAAATTGAAATTAAAATCAAAATTAAAAAATAACAACATTTTAAGTGTCTAATATTTCAAGTGGAAGCAACAA